CTGCTTGCGGAAAACACATGCATGACGTACAGCAGTGGAGATGGCTGTCATCACAGATGGCCCTTGGTGCTTCTGGAGCAATCTCCATTTTCCGGCTACCTCGTCCAGCTCATCTCACACTGATTAGCTCTCCAAGGCTAATAAGTGTCACATTCAACTCCCCGGAACAGTTGGCCATAGCACTTCAACGGTGGTAAGAGACCAAGGGGAAAATGAGAGGAAACATCCGATGCTGCGAAAGCAGACTCCGAACCATAAGGAGGCAGCAAACTGAGGCTTTAATACGTCCCCAAGCCTCAGTGAAACTAGAGCGATGCAGTACTCAAAATAGCAGTCTGTGTCACCCAAGTGTCCTATCTGAATCCATGGAAACAAAATAAAATGGGCCGGTTTCATCGGAATCGGCCAACTAGTCCCAACATTAAGTCCTCTACCAGCAGACAGCTTCATATCAACTACCCCACAACACACTGAGGTTGTGAGACTCACTGTCAGCTGCCTATATAACAATTCGAGAGGACTGAGAGGAAAAGAAGGCGAACTCAGAAATCTCCAATCACACCTACAACTTAAAATAATAATTCTCACTGAAAACTGGCTAACCCCACTGTCGCCGACAACGAAATCAGTATAGGTGATATGGTTCTGGCCAGGAGAGACAGGGATAATAAGGAAAGAGGGGAGATGCTATATACTTGGGCAGGCAACTTAAATGTGTACGTGCAACGGAACCACCACTTATTGAACTCCCAGACTCCATATGGTGTCATTTCACCGTAGGCTACACGACGTATTTACTAGGTGGCATCTACCCATCACCCAGCTGTGGGGCAGAGCACAACCAGCTTCTGCTCAGCACCACCACAGGGATATGGGACTTGATCAAGTCACTATAGTTGCAGATTTCAATACCCCATCACTGAACCTTGGCTCGGGATATGCTAGGGGAAAAATCTACTACAAACTATTCAAAATACAGGACTAACTGAGAATGTCGGAGACGACACTAGGGGGGGCTCTAGTGAAAAGACATCGAAACTAGACTACATTTTAAGTAATGACCAACTACTCGTCGAAAAGGTCAAGATCCTGACTCCTCTAGGAAGTAGTAACCATGCAGTTATAGGTTTCGATCTCGTTCTCCGTAAGCACTTTGCAGTGGGAAGTGACGCGACCATGTCTGCGTTATTGCAAGCCGGACAATGCTGAAATGCGGAGGCTTATGTCCGACGCAGACTGGCCCTTAGCATGAGATGGGTTATCTGTGGATGAACACCAGGAAGTGGTAAAAAAGGTTATTCATACAGCAACCTCGGATACCGTCCCTTTAGTCACAGTGGTTAGGACTCTCGCCGACCATGCACATGGTTCGGGGTTCGATCCCCCGCCGACGCACACCCGATATCTATGGTCGGCCTGCAAAATTTGGGCTACCGATATCCATGCTGAAAATGCCATACTTGTACTGAAAATACGATGTGGCATGAAGCTGTAATCAAAAATTAAATTAAACACAGCCTAAAAGAAAGTCATCATGGCTGAAGAGAGGCACGCAACGAATTCTGCAAGCAAAGCGGAGGGTTTGGTTTACGTGGCGCGAATCTAAGATTCAGACCGACCACGACGCCTACCTGGAACTCAGAAACCGTTGCAATGCGAGAGTCAGGAGTGACAGGAGGTCATTCCAGGCTAACCCTGCCAAAAACTCCTAGCAAACCCCAAAAACTTGCATTGATTCATGTCGGAAAGAAAACCAACCAACCAGGGGGTATGCGTCTTAGCAGGTCCAAAGGGTCAATATCTCACCGGTCTGGAGATGGCTGAAACACTAGGTTTAGCCTTCGCCAAACAGTTAAACAGCAATGTGGGTATTACCAGTACGGACCAAAATGGTGGTGGAGGAAGACCTAGTGGCTACTCCCCAAATAAATCCCACAATAGTACCAAGGAAGCTACAGTGAATCACATCTGGGAAATCCCCAGGTTGTGACGACATCAGGCCATCTGTTCTGAAACAGTGTGTCGAAGCTCTCTGTAGGCCCTTATACGACTTGTTCCAACACTCAATGCATTCGGGGAAACTGCTAAGGGAGTGGAAAAGAACCATCCTTTCTCCGATCTTCAAGGGAGGGGATAGGCAAAATCCAACTAGTTATAGACCAGTGGCTCTACTCCCAGTGGTATCGAAATTACTGGAAAATATTTTTGACGATCACATCAGGGATTACCTCGATAGGTCTAATATACTTCGTGAAGCCCAACACGGTTCCAGTAAAGGCAGATCCTGTGTAACAAACTTGCTATCAGCTTGGGACGATTGGACATCATGCTGGAGTATGAATGTTCCAGTCCATGTAGTCTTCATAGACTTTGAGAAGGCACTTGACACCACGACCTTCTCCTACACAAAATAAGCCATGCTGGTATAGGTAAGCCACTTCTGTCATGGTTAAAGGACTACCTAGCTGAAAGGAAATTTTACACTAAGGTCAGCCGAGTCTGATCATCTTGACACAGCTCGTCATCAGGAGTGTCGCAGGGTTCTATCCTAGGACCACTGATGTTTTTGATTTTTATCAATGACCTGCCATGCCGTCTAAGCTGCCCGACTCCTCTATACACTGACAACGTGAAGACATGAAGGGCAATAAAGTGTCCGGAGGACTGCATGCAGATGTAAAGCTTCTGGAAGACTGGGCGGGGGCTAGAGGCATGAGTTTCAACCTGAAAAAGTTCAGAGTAGTCAAATTACGCACCTGTAGACTGCAGAATACAAGTTACACCCTGTGTAATGAAAGCTTGTTCTGCACAACGTTGGAACGCGACTTGGGTATAGTTCTAAAAGAAAAAATGAAGACAGGAGTAAATTACACGGAGGGGCATATGCGGTCATACACTTTACACATAGACAGTTAGGTGCACTCACTCCTGAGCTCTTTCTAAGGTTGTACAAAACATAAGTCAGACCACACCTTGAAGTGCATAATATTATCGCATCCCCACTGCTTAGAAGAGACGCCAACCTCATGGAAAGAGTCCAACGACGGGCAACAAAAGGAGTGGTTGGTCTTCGAAATAAACCATATGACGAAGGGCTGAAAAAATTAGGCCTATTCACGCTTGGCTACTGTCGACTTAGGGGGGATTTGATTAGTGCCTACAAAATAACAAATGACCAGAATCACCCAAACAAAGGTGTTCTGCCATTGAGTAGGTATAGGCTCCCTCGTGGAAATCCTAGAAGGATAGCGCAAGGACCCAGATGCGCTCCCACTTCTTTTCACTGCGGGTTTGCCGTCCCTGGAATTCCTTACCGGTGGATGTAGCTTTGGCACCGTCTGCGGACGCCTTTAAGCGAAGGCTGGACAACCATGCAGCGACACAAGGACTGCCTATCCCTTTAAAGTCCCATGCACCATTCGGGGTAGACAACTAAGTTCGTCGTTTTACTTCTTTACATTCTCTACCGTCTTACTCTCTTGACAACTTTAATTACACTTATTAATAATATTACATATATATACCAACTTCAAATATAATCAGCTAACTATTATTTCGTTTTATTTACTTCTTTTTCCGTCTGTTATGCTGAATAACTTCACTAATTATATCCATCAATATAATTCTCTCCTTTCTTTTGACGACGATACCGGAGGACTAACTGGTGAAAGGATCAACTCCATTCACAGTAGTAACAGTCTTAACACACTTCATACTGCAAACCACATTTAATTAATCCCAGCACTACTCCTTTTGGAGTCAACCAAAGCTACACCAGTCGAGTGGAGAGAAGAGCTACGCAGAAGTTTATCGAAGATCAGGAACCTATACCTCAAAATCAAGAGGCGGGCACAAAGAAATCAAATTGGTTTATACTAGCTCGTAAAAAAGATATTGGAAAGTCACAAACAGAATAACCCTTAGTGACAGAATATATGAGGTTCATTTAGATTGATAGACTTCTGTTCCCTGCTGTCCATACAATACAGCAGGGGTAGATATCAGACCTCTCGTCCTCTACTGCGAAATGGCTTGTTTCTACCTGAGAAATAAAATTATTAGTGCTGTGGGGAAATACCCTACTTGTCAATGATATCTTAGTATATCTTGATATAGCATACTTCACATATGCTCCATAGCTTAAGATGTGCAACTGCAGAAGTAAGGAGTATGATCTTTTCAGCGGTCTTTCATAAGACACCATTCATAGTCTCCATCATAAAGAGTGGTGTGGTGAAGGATACAGAACTTTGTTTAGACTAGAAGGTCAAAGGTTGATACGTCCCGATGACCAAGATTCCTACCAGTTCACTGTAGGGTTTACAACCCATGTAGCAAAGTAACATCCATTTCCTCAGAACCAGGATGGGGAAGTCAAAGTGACTTTCATCCTCTACAGAAATACAGCTGAGAAACGAGGACGATACCTCCAGGACATGACTTCATGACGGCTGAAATTATCCCGCATGCTCAAGGTCATTGATGGAGTGAGACGCTCAAAGGTCATTTTCGTCCATGTTACTCGGTTATGTTGGATTGCAGTTCCGTAGCCATTCGTTTACACATTGGTTTTACGTTCTGTTGGCATTTATAGGTGATTACCATGTACTGATAGTATTCTTTTGTAAAATATACTGTTCTTCACACGAAAATAGCCACATTTTGACGTAGTCTTCATTGAATGACACTATGTCGAAAGCTGCAGCTTCTACAAGAAATAAACTATTTGTGTAGATGACATTACCCCCCAACTACCCCATCTTCTGCATTGTAGAGATGTTTTGACGCATTCAGCATGAAACACTAATCATTACAACCAATGTGCTAAGTGTGTCGCAGTCAGATTACATGACGCGGACACCAACATAACTAGCCAGGAAATGAGAATTCCTATCAATCCAGAAAACATATAACAAAATTTTATTAAAAATTATTGACAAAAAAAATTTGCCGAGCGAAATTTCAACCAACATGCTGGATAAGTCCAGCCCTTCATGACCTAAAAATTAAGTTTGACATTGTCATAATATTGATATCGGATCCTGAATAAAAATTTATATACAAAAATGCAGTCTAGTTGATTTCTATAAGTTTTCCCATTGCATTCGGTTAACCTCATACTTTCAGTTACTTAATGTAGCCATATAAAACACCCGGGTTTTCAACTCGGCAAACGCGTTCACATTGTGATTAATTAATTTTTGAGGTATCCTATTTTTTCTGTTTATTTTGCAGTTATACAAACAGTTTATTATGTTGGTTTAAACCCAGCTTTGCTATCATAGAGTGAGAATTCAAGCTGAAATACGAGGTAGCCGTAATAACACTAGTTAGCATAAATGATTTACAAAATTAGTCTGGTTTTTCGTCATTCCTTGCTTAACAATGTCAAACTATCCACTAATTGTCCATAAGGTCAATCCTCAAAGAAGTTGAAAAAAAAGAATTTAACAGAACCACGGTTTCTAACATCGCATTCTTAGCATTCTTATGACATTGACCGGACAACCTATATACGTAGCTACATTTCACTACATGTCTCAGACCATTAGTTAGTGATTTCATGACTGGTTATATGATTGAAACTGACCGCCCCCAACTCTTTCCCAAATTAGTTCCAGCTAAGTTAATTCTATCTTTTGATATACATGACACGTTGTCATCGCCTCATGATGCAATTGATTGCAACCAACGTACATTCACCATCGTTAAATTGTAATTCAGTGAATAACTATTCATTGAATTTTCCACAGTTTTATCCACCAGTATGCTTGGAATTAAACTGAATTAAAGCGGTTACAATCAACACCATACATGCAATGCAACTCCACACCAAGATGCAGTGTTATGAATCTTGATCGTTGGTCACCACCTACTGATGCTTAAGGAAATGATACATCTGGTTTCATTTACGAAGTAATTAAGAGATCCGAAAACACCTAGCCTTATATGATTTACATACTTCTCTAGGGGCTATTTGTCAATCTAATAAAACACCTCCCGGTTACCGCCACTTACGGAAAGTCAGTAACATTTTAACTTAATTTTCAATGCCATTACACTAAGTTTTGAATGGAACGTAGACCTGGCTTTTCAAGGCTGTTGATACGAAGTACTTTTTTCTGTGAGGAAAACTGTCTAATCGATGAGAATTAAGGTGAAATATGCTAAGTGCTTAACACTTCTTGTTGTTCTTATTTGTGATGTAAGTAGACTTGTAACTGATTTTTTGTATTTAATTTACGGACAACGTTGATTTCCTGAGGAATTACGTTTGAGTCTCACGAGAGGTGCTTAAGCCACCACTGATAACTAGTCTCGAAATGAATTTACCAAAGATTTCATGTGAAGAAATGACCCGTAATGTTTTATTTTATGTGGTGACTCGTATTCATCAATGTCATAGGATAGTAGTGATGTCACGTTTTAAACTGACAAGATTTAGGAGTCACGAGTCACAAGACTTCAATCCGATCGGTGAATATTTGGTAAAACTTCACTAATTCAGTGACGAAGTGGTTGTGTCAACCGATGGCGGGGCCCTCTAAAGAGAACCACAGGGAATAGGGCAAAGCAAAGATGTGCTATTGAAGCCCTATCCTTCACCCAAAACCCGAGGGAACAACTAGTAATAACCAGCACGGATACGTAAGATCTGTTTGACGTTTGCGAACTTGCTTCCTCTTTGTCAACGACTTAAAATTCGTCTACCCATTGAAGGTCGTCAGTATTCTGCCACAGAGTCCCCCTTTCTGCTCTGCAGTGGCGAGATAGCTGTTGAAAGTGGACGACTGTAAGAAACTGATCGCTTTTAACCATAGGTTTTTGCCTTCACTTCCTTGTATGAGGTGATACAATGTGGTCACTAATAACGAGATTAGGTTTTTTGTTGAGGTAAAGAGGAAAAATGAGTCCGATATGTTATAAAGCTGCACAGGTCAAGATGGTTAGGAGGTTTATCACGTGTATCGACTTGTTATCTTCAACGAGATATTTTAGTAATAGATTCGATAAGGGTTAGGGATAGTCAAAGGAAAACCTAATACTAATTCATAAAGTCTTAGAGCCACGTTAAATGTAGGTTGAAAATCGTTGGTGATATAGATCCAGATCGCCGTAAATCCCACAGATGTATTCACTCCTTGTGATCTTGCAGATCCTAAATGTCCTTACTAGTCTTCATTTTAAAACAAGACATGTAAGCGAATAATATTGTTTTCAGTTAGTTGTCAGGCTTTACTGGAAGGCACATAGCTTTATACATAAAATTTTTTTTAACCAGTTACGGTGAATTTGCGGATTAAACATTGGCGTTAAATGTTGTCAGCAGTAACGACAATTATAATAATAGTCATAATAATGATAAGGACAGTGTGATAGCAAAATTACAAGCGGTTGACGTAGGAGGCGACAACCAGTGTTAGTAACTAGTTACTGACTAGTGTCCGATCAAAAAGTATCCAATACAGTCTTATAAATCGATCGCGAGCCCAAATAGCTCAGTGGTAACATCTGACTGCAGCACTGGCTGATGCGGGTTCTAATCGCAGAAGGGACATGAGTTCCTTCAAGGTTGCAGATACGTCTTGCTGACTGGTAAGTGCCAACAAGCACAAAACCTAGGTCGAGGGCTTTGTGCTGGTCACTTCCAACCACCTAATACCAATGTGGGCAATTCAATAATTAGGTCAAAATCTCACAAAATTACAAGTTGCGCAGTATCGAAGATGAAGTGGATAGATAAAATCTAAGCAAAAATCATAGAAGTGTAGGGGCGAAGGTGGGCAGTCTTAATTCGTTCATTAGATTTACCTAGGCCAAGGGAGAGACAAGTTGAGAACAAACTTTTGTGTGTGAAGACTACATGATTATTCTACCTTCTGTAAATTTCTGTTTGCTTTAGTTTCAATGTGTTTCTTTCCCTTTAATTTGTGTCATCTTATGCACTGTAACAGCCTAAGCTGCCTCACTTTTGTACAAAGTTCAGTTCATATTGTTATTTTGGCGATGAGACTAGACCCTTTTATTCACAAATTATATCAAATTCCTCAAGTAAACTTAATTATTTGATTATAGTATGTGTGTAAAACAGAGCTTTTTCGTTTTGGTTACCGAGTGATGTAATAAGTACCAACTTAGTAGTGGATATAAATGATTTAAGATCGAATGTGCATTACATTCTGTGTATTCATCTTTTGAAATTGATTACCATAAATGGGATGCAGTTGCTTAAATCTGCAAAGTTTGAGATTTTCCATCCATGGCTGTGTTTCTAGCTGAGGAACTACCATGTAAAGTGAAAGGTAGTCAACTACAGGTGGCAAATTCATGTAATGGCGTGGACTGTTCAAATGACTTGACTAAATGTGATTGCCTTTTTGAATTTTTATGCTTTTGCATAATCTAATTAAATGTTTCTCTTTGATATTTTTTCATAAACAGGTATAACTATAGTATTCAGTTTTTTGTTTTGTTCAAAAGATGTCGTCTACTGCTGAACCGAAATTATCTAAATTAGACCATCGGCTACAGGCTGCCATCAGTGGACGACGTTTTTATGAAGCTCATCAGTTATACAAAACAATACACTTCCGTTGTATTATGCGAAAAAACTATCAAGAAGCATTAAAATATCTTAAATCTGGTTCTGAATTTCTACTTGATAATGAACAATGGGAAAGTGGGACAGAATTAGCCTGCCTTGTCCTAGATGTATACAGTCAAAGTGGATCCCTTCTAACTGAATCACATTTGGCCGAAGTGTGTGAACTATTAATCCGAATGACACCTGGTGAAGAAAGAACGCGATTTATCAGTAAAGCACTACAATTACTTCAAAAACAAAAAGATCTCTTGGCTAGTTTCAATGGTTATTTAGCTCGTGTCTTATGGCAAGAAGGATCATTTAGTGAGGCAAGACTACGCATTATGCTATCATCGAATGGTTATGCAGCTGGTAGTTTTCTTGTCGCATTACACCAACGCTATGGATTACGATCAGAGATTGATTTGTTTATTGCACAAGCTGTTCTACAATTTCTTTGCATGAAACAGACCACTGTAGCGATTATTACATTTTACACCTATACAAGAGGACATCCTCGATTAGAGCCGGGACCACCGTTTACACACTTTCCATTACTTAATTTTCTATGGTTTCTTATGTTAGCCATTGAAAAGAAGTGTAGTCTAGCGGTGTTTTCTGTCCTGTGTGAAAAATACAGTCCACAGTTGAATAGAGATTCATCGTATGTAAAGTATTTAGATAAAATTGGTCAATTATACTTTGGTGTAAAACCGCCAACCAATGAAATGAATAATTTTTTCTCACGAATTATGCAAATGTTTAATGATGGTGGTGATAAACTCGACGATTCAATGCTAAATGAAGGGTCAAGTTGTTATGCTGCATTAAATAATATCAATGATGTAAATTCATCACCGGATGAAATGTGTTTTGAAGATGTGGATTAAGCACCTCTCTTCTCTGTCTTTATTTATTCCTATCTAGTTAATACACAGTGCCTTTCAGTTAACAATGGATAACATATATATGCAACAGCATCTCGTTTCCTTTCTTTTTTGTATAACTGGATGAAGTGATTACACACAACTCGACCTTCTCCTATATGCCTACTTTCTTTATTGGCGATAATAGACGCGCGGCGAGAGTGGCCGGAGGAGGTCAACTTGTCTTGTTTCAAGGTTGTGTTTCTGTAAACTGACCGATACATGAATATCCTGTGGGTTTACTCTCTTCTTCTTATTATTATTCTAATGGGCATTGAATGCATCAAAAAACCCTAATCTTTATGTTCAATTCTATTCTTTTCTTCAATTCCCTTTGCCTCTTATTCCTCTTTCTTCTTGTCTTGTCTTTTTTTCTGTCATATTTCTCTTTCGAAAAGCAAAATGCACAAAATGTTTTCTTGTCTACTACTTTAAATAAATTGAATTGTGTACAGATTTTGTATTATGGTTTTAAATTTTGTTGGTTTGTGTGTGTTTGTGTGTTCGTGTGGTGCAACTGTTGTATACAATTTTTCTATTGAGCACTGTCAACGTGTCGAATAGTGTTAGCTGACACTTATGGTTGGGTTGGGAAAGGAGATAAGGCCGGTCAGACCAGATCAATGTTTTGGACTGTTGGTTTGAGCCAGCTGCGCAGGGAGATTGAGGTCTTTTGGACGCTAAGGACCACCAATGGTTGAGGACTGTTGTTGTTGTTGTTGTGGTGGTGGTGGTGGTGGTTGAAAAGCTTTCTCATTTGAGCAGATGCATTGCATCCATCTTTGTAATCTCCCGAATCTGTTAAGTCCTTATGTTTTTTCGCCATATTACTCCCCTTACTCCGATACACTTCTGTTCATAATAGGTCATGTGAATTTCGTTTTTCTTCCTTTTGTACTTTTGTGTGTTGTATGGAGCGTGGCAAGTTGAGCCGCTGCACTTCTGTACAAAGTTCTCTATTGAAATTCATTCAGTGTTAAGGTTATATATCTTTTTAACATAATACTATTAGTCATTTATTAGTCAATGTACGTGTGTGTAGTGGCGGGTGTCCTGCTCAGCAGTCCGCACCGTCCTCCTTTATGGCTGTGAGACATGGCCATTAAGAGTAGAAGACATGAAAAGACTAGCAGTCTTTGATCATAGGTGCCTGAGTTCTATCTCCCATGTGAAGTGGTATAATAAGGTCAGCAATATTGAGGTTAGGTATCGGTCGAGTGCTAGGTAAGGAGGGAAAATCAATCGACGAGGCTGTGAAATTACATCGACTGAGATGATGTTAGGAAATGTGTTACGTATGACCAGTCTAGCCATCGTCTTCCTCGACAATGGGCAATGTTAGCTGGCTGACATAGGGTCAGGCTGGAAAAGAGCTAGCAGCGGTAAAACCAAAACATGGCTTCATCAGTCAATGAAATCCACAACAGTTAGTTTAAGCGATGTTAAAAGGTGTAAACTTCCTGACTGGTTGGGGTCCTCGGGATGACGGTAAAAATCAATGGCTGGGAACAATCGGTGATGTGGTTCAAATTGATCGTTCTCAATGGCTGGTGCAGATGCACCCACTCCTTGTGACTTATGATTTCCAATGAAACTGTTTTGTTCTTCGTTATTACCATTCCTTTTGTCCGATATCTCTGTTTACTGTGTCTATTATGCATTTCTTTTACTTTCTTCTCTTGTTTTGTGTGCTACATGGAGTGTGGCGACTTGAACTGCTGCACGTTGGTGCAAAGTTCTATGTCGAAAACGGACAGAGACAGAACAGTAGTGGCTGACTGAATTTCAGTATAGAACTTAGCACATAAGCACACCACTTCAAGTTTCCGGACTCCATGTGGCACACAAAGGCAGAAAAAAAAGAGAAGGGATTCATAGAAGGACTATAATAAGCAGAAAATTGTGAGGGATAAAGAATAGTAACATTGAAGAAACATTAGGGTGTATTAGATATGGGGAATCAAAGAGAGTGATTGCCTCTGGACCGCACTTTGGTTCTTAGCATCCCGAGGAAATCTGTCTGTCTGTCTGTTTTCGACATAGAACTTTGCACTGATGTGCGGCAGTTCAAGTCGCCACACTCCATGTAGCACACAAAGGAAGAGAAGAAAGTAGGAGAAATGCATAATATAGACAGTAAACAGAGGTGTGAGACAAAGGAGTAGTAATAACGAAGAACGAACAGTTTCATCGGAAATCATAAGTCACAAGGAGTGGATGCATCTGCGCCACTGAGAACGATTTTGAGCCATGTCACCAATTGTTTCCAACCATTGGTTTTTACCGTCCCGAGGACCCCAACCAGGAAGTCTACATCTCCCTACGTGACTTAGACTAACTGTTGTGGATTTCATTGACTGGTGCCAAGTTTTCGTTTGACCGCCGCTAGCTCTTTTCCAGCCTGGCCCTTTATCAGCTATCAGGAAATCAACCGCTGGCAGTCTACACCTCCTTATGTTGATCATACTGGTTGTCGAAGATTTGATGGATTGTTGCCAGGTTTTGGTTTGATCACCAGTAACTCTTTTCCAACCTAATCCTATGTTGGTTAACATTACCCATCGAGGAAGGTGGTGGCAAGGCATACGGTACATATGTCCTAGCCTCATCTCAGTCGATGCAGATTCACAACCTCAACCATTGACTTTGCTTCCTTAGCCGCCACTTTCCATCTAACCTTAGTGTTACTCACCCTGTTATGCCACCTAATATGGGAGATAGGACACAGACACACCTATGATCAGCGACAGCTACTCTTTTCTTATCTTCCACTTTCTATGACCGTCTCATAGGCATAAAGGAAGACTGAACGGACTGCTGCACAGTATACATGTCTTTTGGTCGTTAGCCGGCCGAATATCACGTCAACTAGACCAGAGATGACTTAATTTGGCAAGTAAATGCTACACCATCCTTTGGTATCTGTGCTGAGATTTTGTGAGCAGTCAGTCCGCTAACACTGATGCAGCTTCCCAAATGAGTGAAGTGATCAACATGCGTCACTCTTCACTCCTCATCTTTTAGTTAGAGGAGTCGGTTTAGTCCAGTCGCGTAGCTTCATCGTGACTGACTGGTTTCATTGTAGAACTTTGCACTGACATGCAGCAGTTCGAGTCGCCACACTTCATCATTATCTTAAATTTGACAGGAGCACGCGAATCGCATGCCAGACATTCGACGATTGTTACTCAAGGTGTTCAGAAGACTGCATTTCACCAGCGTCTTCACCTAGAAGGACTATATCATCCGTATATTCTAAGTCGACTAGACTATTCCCTAAGTCTCTGAATTCAGTTAGGGTCAGCTCCATTAGTACATCTATAATAAAATTATACGGAGATGGGTAGTAGAAGACGCTCTTTTGTCTTAAACTTTTTATTCACCCACCTATACCAGTCTTAATTCGCCAAAAGATAGGAACTATAGGTATACTTCTTTGTTTTTTAACCGACATTCCATGATAGAATGAATTTATTGGATAAAACCCCACATTGAAACAGTATTATTTACTTACTTATTGATGACGTTATGAGCACAATGTGTTGATCATAATCCTATCTAAGTGCTCACTCACATAACTCTGAAAACTTTGTTTACGTAGTTCCATTATTTCTTATCCTTCCTTTGTTCGTACTGGTTGTAATATCCTTTTTCCGTATCTTTGGTATCGGCGTTGCGTCATTCTCACTGCACATGTCACGTATAAGTTCAATGAACAAAGATTCAGCAATCAAATTCTTCCTCAACTTACCCAAATAACTTTTTATAACCAAATAGGTCTGTGACGCTCTATTGTGTGACCTGACAGTCATTGCGAGGCATTTTGTAGATTACATTATTTTGCCTAATTGTGTCCGTAGGCCCTTTAGCCTACAGAGCTTGTCCTACCTGAGTGGGTTTGTAGGTCTAAATGCCATCCTAATTCCTGCTCTATAAAGAATCCTACGTAGTGTTTTGGTAAAACTGTAGATGCCTTAAACTCATTCTTATTTATATTATGGCCAGTAGCTCCCCCACTATTTTACCTTTGTTTGTGAGCGTTTTTGTGATCTTTTTAGCGGATTTTATGGGATAGTTTATCTGTAGCACCAATGCTCTTTTTTTATCTATTTCACCTCATTATTTAGGTTTTCTGATGTACTACTAAGAGTTGTTACTTAGTTTGTTAGAGACGCCTAACTAAGCCTGCCTTTACCAGATAACAGATGAAATGACTTGAAATCTAAGTGTTTGTTAGAGTGCGTTGGCTTATTTTAAACTCGAATGCATAACCTACTTTGTTCTGTACGCTTTACTGTACAATCCTTTTGCATTTTCCAACTCAAATACAGTATTCAATTCCATCTCCTAATGAGTTTAGATAATATGTGTGAGTCAAGAAACTAGAGATATGTTCTATTTTGGTATTATGTATAAACAAAGTTTGTCAGATTTGTGTGTGTATGTGTATGAGCGCCGTCATGTGATTATGAGCAGAGGCGCTAAATTGTACTTGAAACGTCATCCCTGTAAATAAATACTGTATTGTATCACTCATTGTGTGTGTGGGCACTTTTTATCAAATAAATGAAATTTTTCCGAGATGGAATTATACGTAGTCTACCACACACTGCCCAAATGCTATTCTTATATCAATTTTCATCGGTATGTGTTGTTTTTTTTGAAAAAATGTCATATATTGTGTTTCACTAAGGATGACGTTTTATGTTATGTATAAAAGATGTATTTGGCGTACATATATATATATATATGATGCGGTAGGTAGGTATATTCAAATGAGGATGGCTCACTCATGTCTATTAAAGTATCAGAGTATTGCAGTTTTTAATTTAAATTTTTGTTTCTTTGTTAGATACAGACGATGAGGTGATGGGTTTTGTATATGTGTAATCAAGTGATTGGGGGCATGTTATGCATTCCAGGCTACCACTAACTATCCTAGGGAGTGAAGTGGTAAGGTGTGTTGACCGTTTCACCTATTTTGGAAGTCACATCACCTCCAATACCCAGTCATCTCCTTCTTTCATAGGTACAGTTAACCGAAATAGAATTAGGTTGGAAAAGAGTTAGAGCTGGTCAAACCAAGACCTGGTATCAGTCCATGGAATCTTTGACAGTCAGTCGATATCAGTCATGTAGAAGGAGTCCTCGGTATGCTAAGACCCAATGGCTGGAGACTGTTAGTGATATGGCTCGAAATCGTTCTAAGTGACGCAGATGCATTCACTCTTTCTTATCTCTATATCGATTAAAGCCTAATGTTTCCCCTTGTTACTGTTCGTTCTGACGCGCACTTCTGCTAGTTGTAGTGCTTTTGAATCCTGGTTTTCGTTTCTTTTATCTGTCTTTGTGTGCTACGTGGAATGGGGCAACTTGAACTGGTGCATTTATGTGCTAAAGTGTATGTTGAAACCCAGTTAGTCATCCTAGTTAGTAAGATTATATGGGTGCTTAGTCTTTCATATGCTCTGAAGGTGTTTTTGTGACTTTTTGTTGCGATATTTACCAACGACAATCGGATAATATGTGACCTAATGGTTCTATGCAGTGTTTCGAAAAGGTTTGTATACGCCCCACCCTGAAAATGCTTTTGTAAAGATGAGTCTTACTAGGTTAAGCAATCGACAAATGGGTCTTGGGATCGATTCTCGCTTCGCCTGTTTCTGTCCGGGACCTCACACAAGAAGTGCGCGGTTCATAACCTTGTACCAGTTGAACAACTTGTAACCAACTGACTAATAAATAATGAGATTAGGCTGAATGAAGTTTCACTCGGTATTTATATTTAAGTTATGAACTATATGAACTGAAAGGTGTCTCAGAATGTTAAGAAAACATGAGTGGAACAACTTGTCTTTGACTCTCTAATTATTATGAATGTTCACATGTCCAAATCAATTTCCGGATTTTATTTTTCATTCTTGGCCTTCTGAGTGGGACATAAGGTTTCAAGCTCTTTCATCCTTGAAGTTTTCATAGCGATGGTTTTATTTTTATGGGATGGGGTTAATAGCCAGCGTCAGGTCCATCCTCGCCTCTTTTTGGGGCGAGGTTTAGGAATGAGTCGGCCGAGAGTTGAACTGCGACCACTCCCATGTGGTTAGTAGGCATTCTACCAATAAACCAAATAATGCACTAAACTATGGAGCACACTGAACAAGTGTTTCATCCTAGTCTGGGGCTCTTCAACAGTGGCTGCCCATGGCCCCATTGAGTATTGAACTCAGGGCCTTCTGCTGGGGGGTGCGAGGTGAGTATTCTGTCTCAGCCACAAGGACTGTTAGCGCCTGTGGGTTTGAAAAAATAACTTGGACATGGGTATGTGATATTCATTGGTAGAATTGCTAGTGTGAACACCCCAAACCTTATAAATTATAAAGCGTATTTATGCAACACCGATATCTCTTCATATATGTTACTGTGAAACTGAAAGTGTACTTGGGATTTTCTTTGTTAACGTTTATTTTGTTTAATTTTAATTAGTGTTTGATTGGCAATATTTTTTGTACTTTATGTGCGTGTTGGTGAGGTTTTGCGTCGGTGACACAGTGGTGGAATGCTCGCCGACCATGCATTATGTGGTGGTTCGGGGTTCGATCCCCGACCGACGCTCTCCTTTACCTCGGTAAGCCAGTAATAAGACTGGTAAAGTGGGAAGGTTGCGCTGGATGCTAACAACCCCATCCCGTAAAAAATAAACACCACTGCTACCGAAACTTCAAGCCTCTAGCTTGAAGTCCCATATTCCACTGGGAACATAAAGGAATACACCATCACCACTATGTGCGCGTTAACTGGAGTTGTATACTTATATGAGTAGACATTTATGCCCATCCACTTGAATGCTTTTTTAATTTAATTCTAACTTCCCTTAATTTTCTTTTCTATTTTTTCTACAGAAGGGGGAAGAATGTTTTGATTTGACCACCATCCATTTAAGATTCAGCAATGTCGAATAGCGCATTTGGCCCGGTTTTGAGTTCAGGCATTGGTATGCCCAATATCATGAATAGTAGTAGTACTAGTCACAATAGTAATAGTAATAATAATAGTAATATTCCATCAATGAAAGAAGAGCATACCACCGCTTTAGGCTTGAAAGCTATTTATGCAGCTTGTCGAGTGTTATATCCTGATCAACCGACTCCGTTACAAGTTACAGCTGTTCGAAAATTTTGGATGGGTGGACCAGATCCTTTGGATTTTATCAATATGTATGCAAATCCTGGTTCTGTGGAATTACAAAGTCCTTCACACTGGCATTATGTAACTAATGGTTTATCTGATTTATACGGGGATTCAAGGTTACACAGGTGAGTGAGTGTGTGAGATTATTGTTGCACTGTTATTTCCTATTCTTATTTATTTGGTGAGAAATTGATGCATTTACCTGAAACTGTTTATAGCACATAACCGAGCTGTGGCTTATTGATTGGAGTGTTCTACTCCCGGATACTTGGGTCACTGGTTCGGACCTCTTTCCAATTATTGAGGTCTTGGAAGTCGGATTGTACCACTGGGTGTTACACAAAGATGTGTGTGGGTCATTGCTGACTGGCATGGAGTCGCGAGCAGTTGTTTAGAGAATACGAAAATGATGTCAAAATAATTTTGTGGATTAACGAAGAGAATTTTAACTTCTTGGCTTCTTTTACATCGTCGTCTTGTAGAAAAATTACACTCATGTATGTTATGCTTAACTCATTGTCCTAATAATTTAAGCACTCAGCTTTTAGAGAATGAGTCCGGGACTCGGTCCCCTTACCAGCCCTCCTATACCACCTGATACGGTTGAGGGTGGATAGACTTCGGTCTTTTGAAATCGTCTCATGTGACCGCGCGTTCATAGCCTCTACCAGGTAAGTCGTAGTCATTGAATTCACACGGCTAGAATATGCCTCACAAAAGTGGAAGGACGAATGCAAACGTCTGGCGCTTACAATCAAACTGGTGGATATGCAGTTCTACTTAGGGAGGGGAGTTGGAAAACCCTTGATTACGAACCCATGGTGTACATAGGCTCCAGAATCCGAACGGGTCAAGTGGCGTATGAATTTATGCTGCGCGCCGGAAACCTTTCGAACTTAGCTCCTGACGCTACTCCACTGCCTTGTGAATCAGACTTCAAGCCAAGGGGGTCGGCAGAGGTAGTCCCTGAAGACAATCAGCTGCTTCGGTCCGGGTGTCCTGATAGTATTGCAGCCCTTGTACAAATTATGAGATTTTGTGTGGCTCATCTCTTGATGGCGATAATGTTATCAAGTTTGTGAATATTATGATCAATCCTCCTACAGTAAGTGTGGCTCAGTCTGTTTCAGGTAACTAAGTTCTACTACCACTACCAGTTATAAAAATATTTCTGTTAGTCCCAAGTAAAACATAGGGCTTCAGCAGCAGCACATTGCTACTGCACTCTGTTCTTCTTGGACTGTATTACCAGGCTACACGATTGCCTATAAGCTTTCATTTCACTCTTACACAATCTCCTCTATGTCAGTATCAGACCAACGCCGAACTCATTGCCTTCTATCGCAAAGCATTGCGGGTGATGTCTGTCAACGGTCTCCTCAGCGTGTATCCATTCCATCTCCATTTCTTCTGCATATTTGATCATAGGGAATAAAAAGACAGTTGCAGCGAAGAAAATTTTCTTTTCGACGAAGTCATCATCTAGGCTGTACATTCGTGTATTTATATCAAATGGATGGGAAAGTTCCAGAATAATTTCTGGTTAGGGGTTAAATTAATAAAAATTACAATTAGGAATTAGAATGCCATAATAAACAGGGGGATGGGTAAAACTCAAACAAAGTAGCATAATAACTAAGAAGATTGACATTGTGCAATTGGGGGTTAGAAATGTAAAAATAACAAAATATACAGGATGTTTGGATAAAAAACTAGTGTGATGAATAATTGTTTATGCAATCAGGGATTAAATATGTAGAAATAGTAAAATGACAAAATAAACAGGAAGTGTGGATATGAAAATATGGTAGTGTAGACAGGGATTAAGAAAACTTAAAATAACATGAATAAACAGGAAGTTTAGATAAGAAAGGCGATGGGATGGTCATTATTAAAAAATTTACCTGTTTACGATGGCCATGGCAGGGACAGGGGTTGGACGTATTTCTTTTGGATACAAAGAGTGGGTTTGAGTTTTTGGATAGCTAACGCCTCAGCTATGCCCAAATGTCTTGATTTCACTCCCTTTGATAGGTTTGATTGAATCTTGTATATTACTTTGAAGGACTTTTCGAAAGGCGCTGAATGTCCTGAGTTGACCAGATGTTCTGTCACTGAACTGTATACACGTTTTTGCTCTCCTTTTACTAGCCAGGCTGGGTAGTGTTCACGAGCGCGTTTTCCAAGTTGGCGCATGGTACGGCTGATGTACTCAGCTCCACAAGAGCAAGTAAACTGGTATATGCACGTTGAGGTGGCCCAATGCGACAGCTTGTCTTTCGCGTTCTGGTTGAACAGTTTCTTGCAGGAAAACGTCAGTCGTAGGCTTGCGGCGAAGTATGTTTTCCTCAGCGATTTGGAGAGGCGTTTGCGAAGGATTTCTGCTTCAGTATCACCTTTGAATTCTAGATTAAGCAGAAGTATTTTCTTTGGGACGGATTGGACTTGTTCAGAAGTCTTCTTAGGTTTGAGATTCTTGTCTATGAACCTGGGCGGGAAACCGTTTTCCATCAGGGTTTTTCGGAGATTACGCAGTTCTTCTTCGATCACTTCCTCGCTGCATATCTTCCGAATCCTCGAGGAAAGAGCATATATCAGAGAAACTGGACCTTGAAAACTTACTTCAAATCTCCAACAACGCCCACCCAAACATCGACTTTACACTTGAGACCGAATCTGACGGAATGTTCCACTTCCTGGACGTCCATCTGACAGAGGGTTCCAACTCACGACCTTCCGGTTACAAGCAAGTAAGCAAGCTTGTATACCATTCAGCCACTGGGACCCACCAATCCAATGGCCAGCTCATGAATCCCAACTTCTACCAATTCACTATATAGCGCAACTGGCACTAGCCAATGTCATCACTGGTGAGTATTTGTCCTCATACGTGAATATCAATTTGATGCTCACTAGTGACTGGCCCTATTCAGGTAAGTAGTTACCTGGGTTCTGGTGGGAAGCAGTGACCAGTGGGGTACAGCTGGTAGGGTGTAAGAACAAATACTCGCCAGCGATGACATTGGCTAGTGCCAGTCGTGCTGTATTGTGCGTGAATTTGGCAGAAGTTGGAATTCATGGGTTAGTTGTTGGATAGTGTCCCAATGGCTGAATGGTCTACGAACTCGCGTCGTCGTAACCGAAAGGTCCTGGGTTCGAACCCCTGTAATGGGTGCGTACTGCCAAAGAGTCCCAAACTAGGCTGACGAAACAGCTGTCCAGTACTCCTTAGTGGTTTCCCAGTGGTTCTCTAACCGACGTCAGCTCATGATAAAATCCTGTATACAGTCAACTCAAATCCTTGTAAACCAACACTTGTAGATCTTTCATGTTTCAGGCTTACCGTATGAAGGCTGATGATACTAGACAATATCCGAGTGTGAGTTACTTCGGATGGGAGCACGAACTGCTAAACCATTGTCTGCAAGCCTAGTTCTTAGGCCGATATGTACACTCCAAACATATTGATTATTTTCTTCGGCACAACACCGTAAGTATTTTGTTCTTTGTGTTTTTTTTGTTTCTTTTAGTCATTCTAATACAACTGATGGTCCTAGCGGTTTTGGTTTCGAGTTAACATTTCGTGTAAAACGTGAACCAGGCGAGACAAATCCACCAACCTGGCCAGCTCATTTATTACAAAGTCTTGCACGTTATGTATTCTATTCACAAGCTCAATTAATGGCTGGTGACCACATCCCCTGGCCGACATCATTAGATAAACAACCGAATTCAGCGCAACAATCTGAGAAACGACAGTCTCATCATCCTTCTCAACAACAACAGACAGATAAGCAAACGAATACCGAAGAACTGGAAAATGCTAGAAAATCGATTGCTATGGCAGCTGCAGCCACTGCAGCGTCTATCTTAGCTGCTAATAGCGCCAAAACAGGAATGACAGCGTCAACATCAGCTACTCTATCGGCATTGACGAATCCATCGACGTATGCATCAATGGTTGCAGCGGCTTTAGCTGCTGTCTATAATAACAATAACAGTAGCTCTTCATCAGCCAACAACACTTCAGAGGATACTACAATTAAAGAAAAACAATCAGCCAATAATTCATCAAGTTCACGTATTCATCATATGCTGTTAATTGAAGATCCTCAGTTGAAAAAGATAACAACACCATATGGTTATGTTCAATTTTTACAGGTATGTTCATGCCAACCTCTTCAAGAGTTGATTTGTTTTTTTTTCGAGTTTGACCGCGGATTAATATCGGTGTTAGAGAGAGAGGACCATTAAAAACCCACAGGGAGGAGTACTGGACAGCTAGCTAGATGTTTCGTCAGCCTAGTTCGGGACTCATCAGCAGTACAGGATGGAGTTCCGTGGAGTTCTAGTGAGAAGTCGTGACCAGTGAAGTCCATCTAGTTGCAAGTGAGGATCGAGTACCCACTGATGATGACATTGGTTGATGGTCTGTCTGTCTGTTTTCGACATAGAACTTTGCACCAATGTGCAGCAGTTCAAGTCACCACACTCACTCCATGTAGCACACAAAGCAAGAGAAGAAATGCATAATAGAGACAGTAAACAGAGATATGGGACAAAAGGAATAGTAAATAACGAAGAGTGGATGCATCTGCTCCATTGAAAACGATCACTTTGAGCCATATCACCGATTGTTTCCAGCCATTGGATTTTACCGTCAGGAAGTCTACACCTTCCTACGTGGCTGGCTTAAACTAACTGCTGTGGATTTCATTGACTAATGAAGCCATGTTTTGGTTTGACCGCTGCTAGCTCTTTTCCAGCCTGACCCTATGTCAGCCAGCTAACATTGCCAGTTGTCGAGGAAGGCGATGGCTAGACTGGACATACGTAACACATGTCCTAACACCATCTCAGTCGATGTAGCTTCACAGCCTCGTCGATTGATTTCCCCTCCTTACCTAGCACTCGACTGACTCCTAAGCTCAATATTGGTTGATGGTTGCACTAAGATCATGAATTCTACCTCTCTTTTCTTTAAAGCCTTTCATTAGTTTTCTACTGTGGAGAGTAATAATATTGACATTTTAAAGCATCGACGGGGCAGCGGTAGAATGCTCCCCAGGCTGACGCACACCCAAACCCTCACCTACCTGGTAGCAATCTCAGTAAAGAGGGAAGATTGAGCGTGAAGCTAGCGACTCCACCGCGTAAAAATAAGTCCACTGCGACTGAAAATGCAAAGTGTACAACTTGATTGAAGCCTTATGTTCCGTCATGGAGTGTGTTAGACAGTAATATTTACGGATGATATCTTGAGCACAACTTATTGCTTACAATCATATCAACGTACCTACACAACTTTCTAACTTCGTTTATATAATTTCATTGTCTCATCTCTAGATCTGATTGGTAGTAATACCTTGCATATCTCTGGTATTTGTACTGAGTCATTTCTGTTGCATGTGTTGGGTGTAGATTCGATGAACAAAGCTTCAGTAATCAACCTCTCTCTCCACCTACCTAGATTACTTTTTAGAATTTTAACCCCCTCCCATCATGCTATTGTGTGGTTGTGTGTTAATGCATGCAGTGCAATTCCTGAGATTTTTTTCTAAATTACTTATCTTCGCGGGGTCAGTCATTCTACATTAAAGCTAAATTCTTATGTTCCGACAATCAGACTACCCTCGATCTACTGGTTTGACCTATATGCCTGACTTAACTCACAATCACTGCAAGGTATTTTGTAAATAATATTATTTTATCTAATTGGGTCAACCTATAGTGTCCTTTTACCTACAGAGCTTGTCCTACCTGAGTGAGTTTGTAGGTTTAAATGCCATCTTAATTCCTGCTTTATTAAGAATCCTACATAGACTCTCAGATGTCCCCTCCTTCTATGGTAAAACTACTGTAGATGCCTTATATTCTCCCTTATTTATGTTATCATTATTAGTTTCATCATTATTTTTCGTTTGACCTTTTTTGATCTTCTCACTAGATTTTAATAGGATAGTTATTTAAACCCAACACTTCTATCTGTTCCACTTCCTTATCTTACTAAAACGTATTTTTTCTACATTAAGGAATTATACTCTACCACAGTACTCAGGTTCTATTCTTAGACTCTATGTTCCGCCCGGAACTCAAAGGAATTAATGAAGGGCAATCACTTAATGCATTTCCCTGCAAGTTGACAATAAGCCACATCTATTATGTGAGATAAGGAGAGACAGCTAGTGATCGATCGTATCACATGACCTCTCAAATCTTGGTAGGTAGAGCTGGGGTTCAAACCACTGACCTGACCCATTTGTTGAAAGTCAAGCTGACTGACTGACTGGTTTCAACATAGAACTTTGCACCGATATGTGCAGCAGTTCGAGTCACCACACTTGACTTAGCACACAAAGCAAGAGAAGAAAGAAACAAGAAATGCAAAACTGAGATATGAGGCAAAAAGAATAACAATATCGAAGAACCATATAGTTTTATTGGATATTATAAGTCTCAAGGAGTGGATGCATCCGCACCAGCCATTGAGAACGATTTTGAACCATATCACCAATTGTCCCCAGCCTTCATTGGTTTTTACCGTCTCGAGGACCCCAATCAGGAAGCCAGTCTACACCTTCCTACCTGAATGGCTGGTTTAAACTAACTGTTATAGATTTCATTGACTGATGCCTCCTCAACACCAATAAGTCACACAGCAAAGAAAAGACCAGGTTAGAAGATGCCAGACAAGAAATCGGTAATGCTTTCCACTCCAAAAGCAGTTCAAAAAGTCACTCTACAACCATTTTACATTTTCATACATTCGACAGTGATTTACACCAATCTTATGTTAGTCGATGATACGTCCGCTTGACACTATCCCTTGGTAGGCGGTGGAAGTGGGTTTCGGATTCCACAAGCCATTTGATTGGAAGTTGACAACGACCTGCACTAATGAATTACAGCTTTTCAGTTGGGTTGATTGACTGATTGGTCGACTGACTGAGCTATTATAATTATTCCTTTGGGTTCCGCGAGTGGAGCATAGCACATTGCCATTTCACTCTGTTATCTGCAATCGTCTTTTGCTTTACCTTAGCGGACTCCACGATTCCCCCCCCCCCACACACACTTTTAGCGTTCATTTCCTCTTCACATCATGGCTTCCGTGTCAACATTGGATGTCTAAATGACTTGTTGTTTTTATTTAAAGTGTGAATAATTCATTTTATTATTATTATTTATTACAACTACTACTATTCCACAAGCCATGACACGTCTGTTTTTTATATCGATTTGATTAAAGTTCAAGGTCATATGCATTTGGCTGTGTTCCATCCTACAGTTGCTATACCCTTTATCTTGGTATGAGTAAAGTACTTAGTTATTTATTTATTTACATATTTATCTAGTTACTTGTTTTGCGATACATTTTACATGAGAGAGAGAAGTGTAGGCCTAATTGTGTAGTAGTTAGTACTTTCTGTTTAACTTCATCATAGATATGCTAATGGAAGTATCCTTAACTGAATTTAACGACTTAGAAATCGACTTATTACCAGGGAAATAGTCTTATGGACTTAGAATATGCAGATGACATTGTCCTATTAGGTAGGGGAGGATGCTGACAAAATGCAGAGTCTTCTGAACACCTTGAGGAGCAACAGTCTTCGTATGTTTGGCATGCGATATGCCCCTGTAAAATGTAAGATGCTGCTACAGGATTGGACTACGTCAACTGCTAGCTTAGTGATAGGGAGTGAAGTGATAGAACATGCTGACCACTTCATCTATTTGGGAAGTTGTATCAGCGACGGAATCTCAGCACGGATCTAAAAAGCTCGAGCTGCTTTCGCTAACTTACGCCATCTCTGGCGTAGCCGTGACATCCGGCTATCAATCAAGGGGCGTGTGTACTGCTCAGCAATTCGCTCCATCCTTCTCTATGGCTCTGAAACATGGCCAATACGAGTTGAAGACAAGAAAAGGTTGACTGTTTTTGATCATAGATGTCTACGATCTCTTTCTCACGTTAGGTGGTATAATAAGGTAAGTAATGTTGACGTTAGGCGTAGAGTGTTTGGCAAAGAGGGAAAACCAATCGAAGAGACTATGAAGTTACATAGATTGAGATGGCTAGGTCACGTGCTGCTCATGCCTAACCATCGCCTCCTCCGACGGGCATTACTAGCTCATATAGGTGCAGGTTGGAAAAGAGTAAGTGGTGGTCAAACAAAAACATGGCCTCATCAATCCATGAAATCCCTGACAGTTAAACTGAGTCAGGTAGGGAGATGCAGACTTCGGGGTTGGGGCCCGCTCTCAGGACTCTAAGAATCAATGGCTGGAGACAATAGGTGACGTGGCTCAAAATCGTTGTCAATGGCTTACGCAGATGTATTCAGTCTCTGTAATCTTTCATATTCCTATGTACCATTACTCATTCTATTTCACTCATATACTCGTCAAAACTCTATTGATTCTCTTCACTCATTTTCTTGTCTACCTTTGTGTGCTATTTGGAACGTGGCAACTCAAACTGCTGCACTTCGGTGCCAAGTTCTATGTTGAATCCAGACAGACAGTTAGTACTTTTAAGTGATACAGTTGGAGGTGGACTAGTACTTGTGTGTATGTGTGTGCGTGCTACTGGGAAGAATTTATCTCTGCTGATGTTTTATTATATCTCTTAGTTAACTAGATATAAAAGGAATGACATGGGATGGATACTCTATCTTCTTTCTACAGGATGGGGTTGCTAGCCTCATACCCAACCTTTCTTCTTTACCAGCTTTATTACTGGCTTAGCGAGGTAAAGGAGTGCCTCGGGGGCTGGGAATCGAACCCCGGACCATGTGCATGGTCGGCGAACGTCCTAACCGCTGTGCCACCAACGCACTCATAGTCTTCATCTTATCTGTATACTCAATTACAACAGCAACAATCCAATAACACACAAAAAGAGTTCCATTCAAGGGAGCCAGCCAGGAGTCATGGCAGCACAGAGCTTCACGCAGTAATAATAATATCAATGGATTACAGTTTGATAGCGTCAATATAACAATACATTGAATATCAGAGAAATTAAGAGAAGTAATAATACAAATTCATGAATTTATAGCCTCAAGTGTGTCACCACACACACAACCAACTAAAAGATGCAGTACCTAGACTAGTCACTTCTACCAATGCAACTGCACTTCTTAAGCGAGTATATTGACCGTCGTGTTCGGCTACATCTACCTGTGTGGTTAAATAAAGGTGTAGTGAGAAGTATTAATAGCTCAATACTAGAACACCTGGTCCAAACGGACCACAAAGCCAGCATTGAAGAGCCCTTCTCCATCATCGATCGGGTACCGAACAAATTGTCAAAAACATCAAGGTACCAAACAACAAAGGCTATCGCGAATCGCCTTAAACAACCGGTGCTCTGTGTGGAGAAGAAGCAAGCCCATCCACCATAACTGCCCTGGCTGGCCGGCCTTCAGTAGAGACTATAAATTCATGAATTTGTATTATTATCTTTCCTAATTTTGCCGTTTGATATTCAGTGTGCATTGTTATGTTGATGCAATCAAACTGTAATCCACTGATATTATCATTATTATTATTGATTCGATGTTATTTAAACAAGATTAATGTTGTTAATTGTGCGTCGGTGGCACAGCGGTAGAATGCGCTCACCAGCCATGCAGGTGGTCTGGGGTTCGATCCCCGGCCACCGAGGCACTCCTTTACCTCACTAAGCCAGTAATAAGACGACTGGTAAAGAGGAAAGGTTGGGCATGAGACTAGCAACCCCACCCCTTAAAAAATAAACACCACTGCTACAGAAACTTCAAGCCTATAGCTTGAAGCTGCCCTATGTTCCACTGGGAACGTAAAGCAATAAAGCATTCAGTTTAAATTAAGTTACCTTACATTAACATGTATTATTATATACGTTTTGCAATGTTTAATTTCCTTTTTTTTTGTAGTTGGTTGGATTGTGCGACGAAGAATTACGTTTAGTACAACGATGGACTGGTTCACACGTGGCTGAACTGATGAGTTGTTCCATTGAAACTGGTGGTGGTCTCCTTGTCACTGATATGCGAAGAAATTTAAGTCTATTTGAATTACAACCAAATCTAGTGGATTATATCAATGAAAAGTTGAAACGTGAAGGTTCTAATTTATCCGGTGTTACTACGTCGTATTTCGCTTGGTCACCTATTACATTGTCAGCGTTAGGTGAACTTTTGCCTGGTGAGTTGGAATCACGTCGTCTACGTCGTCAAACACAGAAACATGACTGCCCTTCACCGTCAGCATCGTTATCAACGAGTTGTTTGTATACGTCGAAAACGAGTGGACAATCGTTGTCTAAATCGATTTTATTCCCTAATTATAGTTCTACGCATAAATCGGATACAGATATTGGGTCAAAAACAATAGCAATGGATACGGATGACACATTAGTTTCATATGCAGTGAAGAAACGAATTGAAGAAGATGAATTTGTTGATATTGTTGGTGGCAATGGAGGAGAAGGTATAGGTGGTGGTGGTGGTGGTCATGTCGGTGGAGGTGGCGGTGGCAGCGGTGAGGATGTTGACTCAACAGCAGCACAAAAGTTAACCAGTGAGAATTATATCCACTCATCAACTACAGCTATTGGTTCAATGTCGCCTGAAGTGAATTCATCGTTGAAAATGTCACGTTTTGAGTCGAAATCACGTATTCTATCATCTATGAGTAATCGTAATGCAGCAGGCGGCACAGATGGACAAACAATTAGTGCACCTGGTGGTTTCTCGGCATGGTGTGGACGAGTAGGACCGATGGATATGTTTAATCAATCACCGTTTGGTGGTAAGTACATGTAATCTGATTTCTAAATTCAATCGGGAATCGACTTCAGTTGAAGAACCTTTGAAAATCAGCAGGCAGTACTACTACTTGACAGCCGTTTCGTCCTTGTTTGGCACTTTTCAGCAGCACACACCGGTGACCCCAATAGGGATCCAATCCAGGGACTTCAGGCTGCCGTTCAGCTACTGGGATGGAACCCAGTAGCCTACAGATACACCCATCGGGTCATTGGTGCCTGCCGGTGAGGAATCCCGAATCGGGACGAAACAGCTGTCCAGTACTCCTTGATTTTCAGTGGTTCTCTAACTAATACTTTGTAGAGATTAGAGAAGGCAGGCGTTCAAAGTTTTATACTGAATGTATAAAGTCATTCTTCCTTTGTTGCCAATTCCTGAAGGCAGCAAGAAACTGATCCTGCCGAGAACCTATAGCCCAATATATATATCAAAGAAAATGGAGATGGACCGGATAAATATTGAGGAGACTGTTAAGTGACATCGCGTGCTAGGTTGTTAGGACAGCGATTAGACTAAAAGCAGTTACCGGCATAGTGTAAGAATTTTTTTACACTATGCTGGGGAACAGGGATGTAACAACAGTGAGGTGTTTCCCTCAGATGACCAGCATGCCAGCTATGCTGTTTCTCCACTCCGGAGAGAGGGGATTAGAAAAAGTCGACCCCAAAAATTGCACATCTCGACTTACCCTACGGTGGTCCGTAAGCGGCGGGAAGTTTATTAATACGGAACCAAACCAAGAAACCAGTTCATACAGGCCGTGTGTGATCGGCCTCAAGCAGTTGTCCCCTGGACTCTGCGGTATCGCCACACTAACCCTCTTTCTCTTTCAGGTACTCGAAGAATCAACCAACTTCCACGGTGTGGGCAGCCGAGAAATAACAACTGGCCACACACTTCCAAGAGCACAGGGAGCCTCCCCGAGCATCATTCGCGTGCTAGGCCCTTGAATAGAGCCTGAATGGAAAACGGTGAATCGGTTATCTGAGGGGACATGGGGGAGATGAGGTCTTATTAACAATTGTGGAGACATGCAGTAGAAACGACTTCAGAGAATCGGATAAGATTGAAGTCCTTTATATCCTGCTCGAAACCTAAGAAAATAATATTACATTGATAATATTGATTAAGTGTCCTATATTGGAATGAAACAGCTGACCAGAAGTAATTTCTCCTCCAGTTTTCAATAACTCTCTAACTAACATAATTCAGCTCGTGATGTAACTTGAAATCCCAGTCAAATCTCTGAAAATTTCTAATTTGAGTATCATTGGATCAAGTCTCAGTGGCTTAATGGTCTACGAGCTCGTCCTGGGTTCGAACCCTGGCGGTGTTTGCGTACTGATGAAGAGTCTCTAACTAGGCTGACGAAACGGCTGTCCAGTACTCCCTGACTGGTTTTCCAATGATTCTGTAACCTATATGAGCTCATGATGAAATCCCTGTAAACTAACACTCGAATATTATTTTGTAAGTTTATCCGAAGTAAGAGGGAAGGACGGGGGGTGGTAATAGAGATTGATGCACCTGTTGTTCTTATTGTCGGAAGTCATAAAATTCAGTCGTGAATGGTGTTTAATTACCGCCTACAGTTAGACCTTATACTTACAATTACTTTCGTCCATTGGTCGTGTAATCACCTTTTGCTTCATAATAACTTCACACCTGTTTTTATTTTTTCAATATACCGGCACACTTTCTATTATTGTAATACGTTAAAAATGTAATATCCTAACTGTTACAATTTCCATAGTAAGTAAGTTTATTCCCGCCTACTTAATCCTCTTTGTAGGTCGTCATGGAATGAATAAAACCGGTGGAAATAGTTGTGCATCCAGTGGAGGTGTATTCCGTGGTTCTTTAGTCACCTCACCTACAGAGCTGACAAATTCACTTGGCGGTGCACTTGGATTTAAAACATTCAACTCAGAACTACCAACCAATATGATTACGGATAAATTGTTTGATCCGACTACAGCAACTACTACTACGACTACTGAGCCTAAAGGAAGTCGTACTCCGGGTACTGGAGGTGGTGGCAGTGGAAGTACTACTGGGGATGGATCTGCTCCATGCACTCCACTAGCACATTTATCACTTTCTCCGGCAAGTTTAGATATGATGCCAACACGTGTTATTGACTATTTGGATGTACATTTATGTCGTGAAGCTGGTGAAATGCTCCCGTTAGCTGTGAATGATCGTCTACGTCATGGTAGACATTTTACATTTTTAAATGCTAATTATCCCGATCATGCAATCACATTAGTTCCAACTGGTGTGTCTGGAGCATTTGTCAGTGAAGAGACACCATATGTTGCTCGTGGACCATGGTTACAGGTAAGAGTTTATTTTTTTGCCACCTATCATATGTATAAAATTCATTGTTTTTATGTACAATTTACCAATGCTGACAAAATGACATCATATACTCAAATCAGTAGTGATGATTGAATGCGAAATGACAATCTGTGTTGCGGTAAGGATAGTAGAGACAGTGACACCGGAGTTACTACTGTAGCGCTAGGTTCACCACGAGTAATGCATCCAGTTGTCATGTGAATCAGTGATACTACTCTACTGTGCCGTTTATCGTTCACATTTGTTGTTCGGTCTAGTCATACAGAATAGAGGCCCTCATAAATGACGTGGTTGGTATGGACGAGAGTGGGTAGACTTGGGTCTTCCGCTTCAAATGCTCTCACGTTTCCATACTTTCATAGACTCCGGCTTTTATGGATCGCGCGCGGATGTTCGTCACAAAAGCGGAACAACGAGTGCGAATGTCTGGCGCGTTTACAACCAGACTGGTGGAAATGAACGTCTATCTAAGGAAGAGATTTGGACAACCGTGATTCCAAGCCTTTGATGTACATGAGCTCTGGAGTCCGAAAAGATCAAGTAGTGTGTTAGCCTGTTTTGATCACTATCAGTGCATCTCTTGGTGTCCATAATGTGACGCACCAATCGATGCTAATCTAGCACAAAATATCCTTCATCCCACGACACCATGTTATGGTCTGACCACCTCTCCGCCTTTTACATCCCGTCGCAGGGCTGGTTAGTGAACAGAGACCTGTACGGAAGCCTCAGAGATGACATTTGCAGCACATGTCCAAGCCACCGAAGCCGGTGTTTTTCTAAATGACGACACTCAACGAATGGTGATCTCCACTGTGTTCAAATACACGCCGCAGAACCTCAGAATTACTCACACGATGATGTAATCGAACGCAAATAATCCTGCGGCGACGGCGATGATCGAATACGCAGAGCCGCCGCACATCCTCAGCTTGGAGAGGCCAGGTTCCACAGACGAAGAGCAAGACAGCACGAACCGAAGTATTGTATACCCGATCTTTGACCGCCAGACTAACGTCGCGACGGCGTGAGAGGTGGCTCAAGTTGATGTATGCCACCCTAGCCTTCATGATACTGTTGGAAATCTCATCCGTCAGTAAGACGATATCGTCTGGTTAATAATCTTCATATGTTTGAGGTCAGGGTTTGACTTCCGGCTGATACATTTCTAAGCCTCTTATTCTTGTAGCCGTTAGTAAGCCGCCCATTAAAGAGGTAAGTTTGAATGTGAGATTAGCAACCCTTCACCCCACAGCAGAAATAATACCACCGATACGGGAAATTCAGAGCTGAAGCTTCAAGGTTTATGCTTAGCACGGAACGCAAATGAATCAAATGAGGCCGATGTACTGACTCATTATCTCTTAGTAGGCAGAATAGAGGTTCTGAACATGTTTATCACTTCTCTGGCAGTCTTATTTCTTGATTCATATATCATCCTGTTTCACTGTTTTCCCTACTTTTGTGTGTTTTTACTTCGAAATATGTTTAATTCTTAATGATTCACTTCTGTGCGCGCACGCTTGCGCTCACACCCCACACTGACTGACTGGCTTCAACATAAGACGACTTCACATATGAGTGCAACAGCTCGAGTTCCCACTCTCTATGTGTAACTCACAAAGGTTTTCGTTTGATGACCCCTACCTAACTCTTTTTTCTAACCTAATTCCTATGTCAGGTGGTAACATTGCTCCATGAGGAAGGTGGTGGGGTTCTCGGCATGCACAAAACGCGTGTCCTAGCCAACTCCATCGATGTCGTTTCATAACCTTCCTGATTGACTTGACCTTCTTAATTAACACAGTGCCTAACGTAAATATTACTTACAAATATGATACTAATTAACACGCGGAATAGGGCGGAAAGGTGTGTGGTCAAATGACAGAGGTTCTTAACAGGTGTTTATCGCTTCTGTAGTGGCAGTCAGTCATGTTTTTCTGACTGATACATCCTTCTTTTTCTTTTACTTACTTTTGTGTGTGTGTGTTATTTTAGAATATGGCGCCCACACACAGAGTCTTAACATTGATATATCTGTCTGTATGGTGTGTGTGTAGTTCTGAAGAGTCTCAAACCAGGACAAAACATCTTTCTAGTACTCCCAATGGTTCTTTTACCAATGTTAGCTCATGATGAAATCCTTTGACCAATCAAATCAAATCCTTGCAAACCAACAATGGAATACCAATCGGATGCTCACTAGTGACTGGCCCTATTCAGTTAAGTAGTCACCTGGGTTCTAGTGGGAAGCCGTCACCAGTAGAGTACAGCAGGTAGGATGTCAGAACAAACACTCGCCAGCGACGACATTGGCTAGCGGCAGTCACGCTGTATCGTGAATTGGCAGGAGTTGGAATTCATGGGCTGGCCTTATCGTAACCAGAAGGTCCTGGGTTCGAACCCCTGTAATGGATGCGTACCGCTGAAAAGTCCCAAACTAGGCTGACGAAACAGCTGTCCAGTACTCCTTGGTGGTTTTCCAATTGTTCTGTAACGGATATCAGCTCATGATGTAGTCCTGTAACCAATCAAATCAAATCCTTGAAAACCAACACTTGAATATGTGTCTGTTTGTCTGTCTGCTACACTCAACCCTATGTTGTTACACCTTTTGGGGTCAATAAAACTCATACAAATAAGAATAATACATACATACATACAAACAAATTAGTTAGATGAATAGTACTCATCGTATTTTTATTTTAAGAAAAACGGTATATAGAAACAGATGTTTTAGATTTCAAAAAAAGTAATAATGACTGATAAATATTTCATAGCACACCCAATATTTTTGTTTGTGTTGTGATGAAACCAGCATTTATAAAGTAGAGTTTTAATGAATTCTCACACCTTAAAAGGTGAAGTTTCTAGATTAGCCTTGTAAAAACGAAGATAGAGAGAGAGAAGGTGTGTGTACCTGTGTGTGTGTGTGTGTGTGTGTGTGTGTGATATTATTGATTGAAATCACCTCTATCCTTAAAAGTGTAGATTTTGATGATGTTAATTAATGAAGTTGTGCGTATACATTATAACAGCCTCTCTTTTGTAATTCGTATTACACAGCTGAGATGACTGTTACTCTCTCTCTCTTGGAGCCACCGAAATGAACTTGTGATAAAGTTAAATTATTGATAGTATCACCATGGCGCCATGATCTTTGACAACCGGTTCAAGTTAAAGGCGGTAGGTAGTTGAAATTATGCCCTTTCTTTTTGGATTTGCTCAAGAAGTTCCAGAAAGACCTCTGGGTGTTTGATTACTGTATAAATAATAGATTAATTGGCAGGGGGGGGGGAGAGAGAAGGCCGGAAGGATTATTGGAATTTTGGAGTAGATTGAAATAACACAATCAGAAGTATACAACAATAATACTCAAAACACTATTTCCCCTCCCCCCCCCTGAAGCACTGAAAATGGACCCAGAGATATGCTTACACCATTATTGCAAAATATTTGAAAAGAAGGAAAACTACCTACCGATTAGAAGAAAGACTACCTCGTCAAGCTGCCAATGAAGGGCGACTTACACCTGCCTGTGCAAGAACTGGGGTGGAATCACGCTGTTGTCCATGCCGAGCAAAACACTAAGTCGCTTCATCCTGGATACAGAACTATGCTAGCCCACTAGAACAATCTGGATTCAGAAAAGGCAAATCATTTACTGATGAAATTGCAAATATACGCGTCGTCGTCATAGAAAAAAGCATAGAATGGCAGTCAAACCTGTACCGCAACTTCGTGGATTTCGAAAAGGCCTTTAGTAGACAGTGTTGACGGAGAAGTAATTTGGAAACTTCGTCAACACTATGGCGTGCAGTGCCCCAAATCTTTATCGACCTTATTCAACAGCTGACTATATGTCAATGCCACTTGTCAGGTATTCCACAACAGATAACTCAGTGAGGCGTTCGAAGTGAATACAGGAGTAAGACAAGGCTGGCTGCCTATTATCACCACTGAGGATATTCTTAATCGTGGTGGACTGAATTATGCTCAGACTGGTGAGTGAGAAGACAGAAATACGCTGGACAGACAAGAAGACTTTACAAGATCTGAATGTTTTATGTTTAATGGCTCATAGGTGAAAAGCAACAAACTTTCTGAAGAAGCAGCGAAGACAGGACTCCAGGTGAACATGGAGAAGACGAAGGTGATGAAGACAACCAACCAACCAATAGCAACAACAACAACCAGCGCCAATCACTATCAACGGGAGAGATTTGACACAGGTTACTTCCTTCACTTATCTGGCTGGGAAGCACGGTTTCAACCATAGGCACAGAGCACGGATGAAGATGTCGAAGCCAGTCAGAATCCGAAAGACAAGATACGCCTTCATCAACTTGAAACCAGTTTGGAAATCTTCTGCACTCAATCAGCATAAAGAACAATATTCGGATTCTCAACACCAACGTCAAATCGGTCCTTCTGCATGGGTCAGAAAATTGCACTGCGTGTCACGAAAACAATTTCTAACAAGTTGCAGACTTTGGTCAACAGCTGCCTTCACTGGCTTCACACTGAAAGTCAAGTGGCCAGTTGGACAGAAAGAATTAGCAACAAGAGACTGGCTGGCAGCAACCCAATCAAGAGCCGATTGCTCAACATATATATAGGAGAAAATGGAGATGAATTGATCAGGCACACGTTCAGGAGGCTGTCGAATGACATCGCGCGCAATGCAGGCCATCGATCGAGTGGAATCCCAATGGGAAGCGGCGACGAGTGAGTCGTTGGTGCTAGGGTGACATGGAGGAGATCGTGTGGCGAGGAGGAGGAGATGAGAGATTATGGGCAATCGTGGGGTCAACCAGCCGAAGAGGACACATCAGGAAGTAGAAGAAAGTGTTTATTACTACTATATTTATATTGAAACTCCTCTAATCCCCAATCGGATAAAGCAGATGGTACACTTCTTCGTAAAAGGGATATGTGCCAATATAGTTGCCCCCTACTGCTTCACATTTTGCCAGTGACGGAAGAAGAAAAAAATACCCTAGGGGATTATTTAATTTTCTAGACCCGCGGTAAGTTTACTAATACGGAACCAAAACAAGAAACCAGTTCGTACAGGCCTTGTGTGACCGGTCTCAAGCAGTTGTCCCCTGGGCTTTGTGGTCACACAACACTAACCCTCCTTCTGTTTCAGGTACCTGAAGAAGCAACCAACTTCCACAGTGTGGGCAGCCGGGAAGTAACAACCGCCCACACACTTCCAAGAGCACAGACAGACCGGACAAACATTGCGTCACATGACGTACGAAATTAAGCTCCAATTACTATTATGTTTCACAATGGAACAACTAGGTCGTCTTTAATGTCACCATTAGTGTGTTATTTTCTAATTATTTTTCTTTTTCTTTTCCTTCTAAAAGATTCTGCTGACAGATGACTTTTTGGAACAACTGGAATTTCAATTTTCATGTTTATTATATCCAGATGAATTACGTCTCCCGTTGGTATTTCGTTGGCCTGAAAGACACCTACGTATCTGCTTGATTGATGTGAATTCACCAACCTCTTCATCTGTAATACCAAGTGGTGGTTGTGGAGGAATTAGTATGCCAACGAATCCTCTTCCATCCTCATCGGCGATGTCATCCACTTTGATGAACTCGAATACGCCTACAACACCTCCTACTGCTACTACTACTAGTACCAGTGTTTCGATTACTCCATCTCATCCTCAAAGTCACCCGCATAATATTCATTCTATTGTATCGAAGGCATCGAATTCCCCGTGTAATTGGAATATATCATCAATGTTTGAGAATAAATTATTATCGACTAGTGGGACACCTTCTTCAGTTATACCACCACCACAACAACGACAACAGCAGCAACAAAATGCATTTACAAAAACTGATTTATTATTCCCTTCACCATCAGCATCGTCGTCATTATTTTCATCATCTGCATCGTTATTTCCACCGGGATGTATCCCACCGCCGAATGTTTTAGCCTCTTTATTCAGTTCCTCAGCCGCTAGTAATATGAATAGTAATAATAATAATAGTAATTCTGGAAGCATTCATAGAAGTACCAATACTACTACTTCTACTACCAGCAATATTCCGAGTAGTAATACTACAAGTAATAACAATGAGTCATCTCAAACAGAATTACTAAGAAATCCTTTTCTCCAATCAATAACTTCTTTACAACAAACCCCGTTGGCACCAACAATGCCAGTTCCATCGCCAGTACATCCTCAACAGCCACAGTCATCATCTTTGCCATGTTCAACAGACTCTGGTGTAATGATGAAAATGGATCCAACTGTCTTTATGAATAATTGGTCAACATTTTTACAAACACTCATGAATAACAGTGGTAATGCAGATCTGTTTAGACAGACGATGTTCGGCGGTCATCCTAGTAATCCTAGTGCTTATTTTATGGAAATAATGCAAAGTATCCTGAATAACAGTAGTAGTAGTAGTAGTAATACTGCTAATAATAATAGCGGTACTAATCCCAGTGTTATGCTGCATCATCCACTGACTGCTATTACATCATCCGGTGGTGGTGGTGGTGGTGGTGGGGCAGGATTACCGTCTGCCGGCGCCTCCTCCGCCTTTGTCGTCGTCATTATCAGTAACTAGGCATTTTTAAACAAAAAACCTATTGAATATGAATCAAAGTTGAGCACAGCGATAGTGTTTACTCATTCATTCATTCATTGGCAGGGAATTACTAATAATGACAATGATAAGTGGGGATCCGGGCAGACAAAAGACGACCCTGAATGTTAAGTAATCTCTTTTTATTTCGTCATGTTTTCAAGTTGTGCACTTACTATCCTTGAATTTATATCTAATATTATAGTTTATTTAATGAGCACATATTTATTTATATGTAATTTCATTGATTTCTTTCATTGTCATTATTATCATCATAGTAGGTAGATAGGTAGTGGTACATTTAACTCTAGTAATATTTAAACTTTACAACTATTATTAGTATTAATATTGTTATTTTTCTCATTGAGATGACTAAAAAGTACACTTAAGCGCCATTCGACAGATAGATAGACAGAGAAAGCGCCATTTTTACCCTTCAACCGGTATTCTTCACTCTTATGCGCCGTATATATTCCTTCTTCTTTTTGTGTGTTTTATTGCGTAATTACCCCGGTTAAATACAATAATGATGTAAGAATACATCATACATCACCCTTGAAACTACCCTTGATTGATATTGAACTTTAAAATATCACTCTGTCACATTATTTCATAGCATTCACATGCCTGGACGGTGGACCCCCGTGTGCCGTCATTTTGATATTTTCTCTTTTTGTCATTGTGTTAGCATATATATATGTATTAGCCCTTTGTGTGTTTGTGTCTATGTGTCCCTCTGAGGGTGAATGAGTGAGTCTGTATGTACTTCCGGTGGTTAACCGTACAACGAGGCAGTAGTATTATTAATTACTGCTTCACATATATTTCATTGCGCCTTTCCCCAACCTACCCCTCATATTCACATACGTATAATTGTAATTGTATTATATAATTTTACCATAGTATACTGTAATTGGTTTTTTCCATATTTTTTTCCGAATTCTTTAGTTGTTTTAATTTTTACTTATATTGTATTGTATTGTTTTAACTATGCCTTTTTATTCTATTATATTGAATAATTAATAATATTTATTATTATTATTACTATTATTATCATGATATTGTTATTATTACTATTCCTTTGGGTTCCGAATCGAACATAGGGAGGGAGGGTGTCAGCTGGACATCTCTATGTGTCATCCTATTCGCTACAGTTCTTCTTTTTCACCTGACCCCACGATTGCTAACACGAGCTCTCATCTCCTCCATGTCGCCCTTGGATGACTCTCTGTCCACCTCGTCGCTTGCTTCGCATTCAGGTCTGACTCGACCGGATGGTTGACACAAATGGGATATTTTCACCACGATATTGCGCAATACTGTTAGATATGTATGTTGTAGTGCTGTGTGTGTATGTGTTTTTTTCGAGGTCTAGTCGGTGGAATGGAATAGTGGTTGATGGAAGCAAAGAATGGGATGGGGAGGGGGTCTGTTTTTTAATCTTTTTTTATTTCTCTCTTTGCTTCTCCTTCTTGTCATATATGAATGGCATTTTTTGACAGACTAATCATGCTTCATTGTTTTTGAATTACTTTTGATGTCTGTACGAGTGTTAGTGGGTGTGTATAGTTATTTCATAAATATTTATATGCAGTGAAGAAAATAAAAAGAAAGAAGTCCTACCAACATATTTTGAGTTTTTTTATACTTATCTGTTGCGTGTATTCTCTCTACTTCAACACTTGAGTTGAAGGGGAGGGGGTGGGAAGAGCGATTCTCTGTGTAGATTGGCCGAGTATGAGCACTGAATAAAGTACACCGCTCAGTTACCTCAGATGCAGGTAACTTGAGTTGGGAGTCACATTTTTATTGTGTGAGACCTGATGACCCAAGTAGTGTTTCACACGATGGGTGAAGGGTTCAACTCCCCTTCGCGGGGACTACATTACTTACCGGGGAGGTGTAGGTGTGTGGTGAGAGCTGTCTACTAGCCAAATTGGTAGACAGTAATTTACGTCAATGTTTACGTTCTCAAGATTTGTCGTGAAAAAATGTGAACAAAGATTGATTCAAAACCGACCACAGCAGACTTTGCGTAGGCGGATGCAGTTAACATATAGAGGATTTGACATTCAAGAAACAGTCACAAATAGATGAAAGATTAACTTTACGTGAGAAACAACCAATCGGAAGACTGTTTGTTTGCTTAAATATCCATAGTAATGTACATGAAAATATATAAATATGCGTTGATTTCCTTAATAAATGATCTGCTGCCTGACCCTTGCCTTCTGTCGTTACAGGTGTATTCAGCTGACTAGTTCCAAATAGCACAAAGTACGCATCTTAAATATCAGTGCTGGTCACCATCAACCAAAGATGCCGATTTACTTCAAGGTGAAGTCGACTGCTGTTAACCCAGCCATTTTGAGAAGGATGTTCAAGGTTGTGATTGGGGCAAGTGGTGTATCACTTAGCCACCTTGTTACAACGTAAGTTGGTAGACATCTAGACTCATGTGAGAAATGGTCTAAATGCATACTGTCTGACCCTCAACACCTTCCCCCGTCTATTCCCAACTCCCCCCTTGTATGCTATCTGGTAGAACTAGAATTCAGTACAAAAGAATTATATGCTCGTACTACCAAGTATAGGAACACAACGATACCATATTTGACCAGGCCGTGTTCTATGCGATAGAGACAATGTAAGGCATGAAACTTATGAATTACTATGTTGTCAGCAAAATAATCAGCTCTTTTGTTATCTCCTATTTGTAATCTATGGTGACGCTATCTCAACTAACTGACAATCGTAGCTACTAACCTTATGATTATTATTTACAATTTTTCTTGGATATATATGACTTCACTGTCACGACCGATGGCTGGTCGGGCTTGCATATCGCAATGAACCAACGAGCTATACTGGCTGGAACTTATGTTCCTGCAGGTCTTACCATGCCAGAAAGGTTGTTTGGATAACGGTTAGACAAAGAGCAGCTACCCAATCCAATACTATGATTCAAACAAATTCACAAAATATCATACCGGATCGGTCGGGGCCCAGATTAACAACGACTGCGCTTCCTGCTGCCGTGTCACAGGGCAGAAGTGATAAACATGCTACTGAGACACACCAAACAAACAAAAACCGGCCTCAAGCAGTTGTACCCTGGGCTCTGCGGTCACGCAACACTCTTTCTGTTTCAGGTTCCCGAAGAATCAATCAACTTCCACGGTGTGGGCAGCCGGGAAGTAACAACCGCCCACACACTTCCATAAGCACACGAAGCCTTCCTGAGCACCACTCTCCCTTACTCACATCACCTTGCTTCTCTACTACAGTTAGCACTATTCTGCAGGCTAGTGAGTCATCTTCACTTCACTCTGTGCCCACAAAAAAAGGTGAGAGCCATAGAAACAACCCAGATAGCCGTTTAAAGCCACGTCGCCAACTTCATATAGGAGCTTTTAACGTCAGGACCCTCTGCCAAATCGGACAAAAGGCATCACTAGCAAGACAGACTGTCACGACGAAAACCAAATAAGAACTGTCATTAACAATCCCGTGGTATTATTTTTAAAATTGTTCTTAATGTTATTCGATAAAATTAGATGCAATATTGTATGTACCAAAGGCTGAAAATTCCACACTATATCATTAGTACTGTTTTGGAGTAAAGAAAATTATTATTAATTAAAACAATTAGTCCCTTTGATAAATTTGAATAAGGCATTAAGAATAAAATATGCTTGGAGAATTTATGCTGTATAAACGTTATGTAGATGATACTCTTATTATTGGTAATAATAGTAAATCTGTTGAAAACTTTATTACCCTATTTAATCAAAAATAAATCCAAATATTCGAGTGACTTCCGAACTAGAATCGAATAACAAACTCGGTTTCTTGGATATTACTGTGACTAGGAGAAATGATGGTACGATTCAGCGAACTATTTTTCGTAAACAGACATGGAGTGGACAATATCTTCATTTTATAAGTTTTGTTCCTATCCAGTATAAACGTTCCCTAGTGAAATGTTTGTTCTCAAGGGCCCGAAAAATATGCACGAGTGACACATTGATGGATGAGTTTCAACATATACATTCAGTTTTATTAGCTAATGGTTATCCGGAAAACTTTATCACTTATCACAGTAAGAAAAGACAGCTTCTGTACCAAAGAAAGCTACCTTTATCAACCTACCATTCAAGGGCGACTAGATTATGCAGTTGACAGCTAACTCAAAGACTTCGGTCAGCTATCGAACGCACATTCTACGCCGTCACATCTCTTTTTTTCTCACATACCAAACATTTTCGATCCCTGTACCTACGATTAAAGGACGAAATTCTGTGGACTGTACTTCAAAGTGTATCTACAAGTTCACCTCCAGTTGCGGTGACACCTATATAGGTAGAACCAACAGAATGTTCCAATGTCGTCGAAAGGAACATGTTCCAAAATGGCTACTAAATCATATAGCAAACCCCAACGCGACTAATTTTAGTAGAAATCCATCATCGTCATCCACTGCAAAACACTTATTAATGTCACGTCACAAAATCAATATTAATGATTGTTTCACAATTATTTCATCACATAACTCGAATTCAAGGCTGGTTATTGAAGGTGATGGAACCACTTTTGGGGATTAATCACATACAGCATAAACTGTGTGTACAAAAAGCGAACAATAGACTTCAATCTTCGCCTACCCTGGACTACATGACCTATCTAAATATGATTGGTCTTTAGTATGTACTTTTGTTTTTTATTTAACTGGTTAATTGTCATGAACTTTATTTTATTATTGTTAACCAACCATGTTAATTGTATAGCGGTTGTAAATCATCTACGAAATGACGATATCATCTCGCGAAATTTGTCTTCTTAATGTATTATTATTAAGTTTGTTTTAATAAATATCCAGAATCAATAGTTACTGGTCTATATTGTTTTGTACAAATTATTCAAGTTTTCATGTTCGCTTCAGTCGCCGTCCCCTAAATATTATTATTATTATTATTATCAAAATTCATACACAGTCTGTTGATAAATGTTTCCAACAAGTTACGGACTTCTCTAACAGAATGCAGTACACCGTATACAAAGGTAAATGCTCCTCTGCTGCGCTCACTGAAGCTGGTATCCCCCAAGGTGCTGTACTCTCCCCACTTCTCTTTTCTTTCTTTCTACATGACTTAACATCTTCAAATGACATTAATATTGTCAAATGTGCTGACGACCTGACAGTATCTTTGCCTGTCAAATGTCAAAGTGACTGCTCTAAACTTAATGGCTTTCTGTCAGAAATCAGCCAGTGGTCCAAGGAAAACAGTCTTAGCTTTAACCCCTCCAAATGCCAAACAGTCAATTTCACCTTTAGGCATAAATCTGACCTAAACAAACTGGTTGGCTCTCACGAGGTGTGCAATATTGATGGCACTGAAACAGAAACCAAGTCGGAAATTAAATATCTTGCTGTCATTCTATCTGCTGATCTCTCCTGGTCGTCTCATACCTTGGCGATTTCCAAGAAAATATTCCGTCTTCCCTTCTACACCAAGAAGTTAAGACATTCTAGAATAACCCAACCCTTACTCCTACAATTCTTAAACTCTCGCATTCTGCCTATTATTCTGTATTGTTCCCCATTAGTTTTTCCCGGGCTACTGAAGAAAGACTATAACATATTATGCAGGATGTTAAAGGTCGTCAGCAGGGTAAGCAACGTGCCACTTAACCAGCTTGTTAATATTCTGGTCGACAGGCACTTGGACTCATGTGAAAAATGGGCCAAATCCATTTTATCTAACTCACCACCATCTTCACTCACAACTCTCCCCTTGCATTTCATCAGGCAAAACCAGAAACCTATATAGAAAACTATATGCTCGCACTGGCAAGTACAAAAACTCAACCATACCCTACTTAGCTCGTGTTCTGTGCGATAAAGAAAGCATTAGGCGTGACACCTATAACTTAATAAATAGTCAGTAGAACAACTGGATCTCGTCTTTCCAACTCATATCACATTTATAAGTACAACGTTTTTCTTTCTTTTCCTTTTCTCTCTCTCTTTTTTCCGTTATGTGCTGCTTTGT